CCTTTTTGGCAGCTGCCCCCAGACTATGGAACGCTGTGATGTTTACCACGTAACCCCTGCTTGTTTCCCCAAACAAAGGGAACACACTATGTCTTCCCACCGGCAGATAACAATTGGGACGTTCACCCTTTTTCTCACTGCCACCAGTGGATTTCTTTTATCCACAATATATAAATATTTTATTCAGACACTTGTCAGGTCGCTGCCAACAGAACTGATTTATTGAATTGCATTAACTTTAATTATAATCACAGATGTTCTTTATTCAATGCATACAATATAATCATTCAAATATCATATATCTTGCCACATTCACCACCTGCTCTATCTATCTTGACCAGCTTATCTTTATTATCTCTTCTCACTATCTCCCTGACTATCTATCTATCTATCTCTCTGCTTCTTTTTCTCTCCTCCCTGCTTCTCTTCTGCCAAATCTCCTTCTATCTCCTGACTCTGCCCCTCCACTCCTCTCATAGGCTCATGCAAATGAGAACCGGACTGTGAGTGACAGGAGTGACATAGGGCAACCGTCCAAATGCCATACAAATTGAGATTTGTCTGGCGCTGATGACATTTCTGTGTCAGGTCAAAACTTTCCTGTTCCAGGAGGCTTTTAATTGAAATAATATCAACTGTTGGTCTGATGGCAATTATTGGAGTATATATTTTAGTTGTATTTTAATTGTTTTCTTTTTTTTTAACTGTATTTTAATTGTTGTAAGCCACCCAGAGACCTTTGGGTAGTGTGGGCGGCATATAAGTTAAATAAATAAATAAATAAATCAGATCAAAGCACAGAAACATAACCCCCCAGCCCAAAAACCACGCTGCAAAATCCACCCGGAACAGGCAGTTTTGAAAAAGCAGAAAGCAGCACCTTACCAGGCAGTTCGAAGCCTCCTCCAATCTCACACCCTCTAACTGCTGGGGCGAAAGAGTACAAAGAAGCAGCCCCTTCGCCACCAACAGTTAGCAGTTTGAACTCCCCACCCTTTTCCCTGCCTTTTTTCCAATTGTAACTGGAAGCTCCGGTCGCAAGTCAAAGCAAAATGTTGTGGCTGGCGCTGGTCATAACTCGAATTGGTCGTAAGTCAAGGCACCACTGTACTGTACTACATATGTGAATGCTGAGGTTCTGATAAAGGCAAGGCTGCAGGGACTGGCTCTGAGGAGCTGGCAATCTTTATTGTTGGACAAGAAGTCCAGTCAAAAGGAAAAGTCAAAGCTATGTTAGATTCTTAGAGCATCTATACAAAACAAACATTTTCATTCCTTGTTATTTTGTCTAAGGATTAAACAAGAGCAAGGAATGAAAGAAGCATCTCATTTCTGTGCACGCCCTCCATGTTTATGGGAAAGTTTGAAAGCCGTAAGCATACTGGCTCTCTCCCAATAATCTTTAAAAATAACCTCTAGTCACTGGAATGCTTTGGAAGAATCTGGAATTGTTTCTTGGCAGAGATTTTTGGTTGAAGCCCATGTTAAGAAGTCTAGCTCAAGACAGTTCAGCTCCACTTCGGCTCCACTCCTTTTGAGAACAGCAACAGCAGCAGCTGCAGAATGCCGCTACTCCAGAGGGTCTGCCTCCTTGTGTGCCTTGTTTGTATGGCACAGGTGACCATGCAGCAAAATACCAGACTCAAGAAAAAGCCAGAGCCCAGGAGAGGTAAGACACTTGGAAAGATCAATCTTTAAGTTTCCATCTGATAATGGTCTCTCAATTGTAAAATTTGGTATACAATTTTTTAAAAAACCCTTCATTTCTGTTATGCTCTGAGAGCTGCATCCAACATGAGTTACTGTTGATCTAATGTTAGCTCCTGATACTGCCAGGTAGTATTTGATTGTATTACCAGATATTGCTACACAAAGTCTTCTGTTTGAAAAGGAGTTGAATTCATTCGCGGATTTGATCTTTCTGTCTCTTTAGTCTATGTTCCCCAAATCGACAACAGCAACATCTGTATAAAGACCACAGAAAATATTGTAACATAGTGACCAAGCTTTAGGAGTTCTCCAGAATTCTTCATCCTGCTGGGTGTTAATTAAATGGTGTGTATGCATGTGCAGGAGTGATGTCTTTATTCCCAAAGTCTGCAGTTTGTTAAATCTTTTACTTGGAATGCAGGAGCTAATAATTGAATTATGTAGGTTGCAATCCTATATACAGTATGTCCCACTGAATACAGTACAGTGAGACTTACTTCCCGATAGGCATGTATAGGAATGTCCTGTCACTCTCCTTAGAAGTGTAAAGCAGCAAAATAAATACAACATGGCAGAGAGCTGTTCCTTTTTGGTGAAATGTATTTAGTTATTCAGTACTGTCTCAAGCCCTTAGTAGAATGCAGAAGTTGCTTGGGAAGCAAACAAACAAACAAAACAAAAACAAAACAAAAAACCCACAGCAAGATGTTAAAATGTGAGAATAGCTGTATTCTCTTTGCTACTAATGAAAGTTCCCAACTCTCAAAGCCAAGACAAAAGAAGTACTCCCATGGTATCTCATGATTCTCTCCCACACGGTCTGTACTGCTCATGAAGTAAAATTTCTGTCCAATATTTTTATTTCTAAGTCTAAAAGCATACTATTTTCAGGCACTTATAGTAGTCAGTATGTGCTGGCTTACATATATATCAAATATCAGCTTTCTGTGTAGTCTAGAAGTACATTAATCAATTGGAGGTATACCTTCCCTCCAAGTTCCTAAAGCTATTTTCAGGCACTTATAGTAGTCAGTATGTGCTGGCTTACATATATATCAAATATCAGCTTTCTGTGTAGTCTAGAAGTACATTAATCAATTGGAGGTATACCTTCCCTCCAGTTCCTAAAGAAGTGTACAAATGGCCCACACAGACATTTTACTGCCAACTGCCTCCACCTCTCCTTTTTAAAAAGCAGTCATAGTTTGCCGTGGTCCTTGTAGGCACTCCTACTTAGTTCTCTGGGACACTAGAAGTGCCCTAAGTAATTGTGAAGTACTTTTCTTGTGACTGTAAATGGCTTCCCCTCAGATCTTTCTAGTAATCTGGAAGTCTTTGGCTATGTCAATACCAGAACTGGGTGGGTTCCCCCCCTTGATTTTGTGAATTTGATATGGTTAAACCATTTAGGGGGATACCTAAGTCCCCCATTTTGAGAGACAGTTACCAAAACACTAAATTGCAGACTTTCCTGCAACTCAGTATTCTTGGACTACTCCTTGCCCTGTATTTTATGGTACAGTTTCCTTGGAAAGAAACAATGTTGACACTACAATGAGTCAGTCAGCAGTGGAACCCAAATGTTCCTTAAATTTCTTCTTAATTTATCAGTCAATGACCAGTCAGTGCTCACTTGACAATTAGAAAACATAAAAGTCAGTTTAAACACCAGCCAATAACAGCTCGTAAATACCATAAAACTGGACAGGTATTTCAAAGCAGATGTTAGCACAGTTTCATCTAACAATCATCTAACAAAAAAAAATCACAGTAATAATCTTTGCAGAGATGCATGCCACCATACTAAAAAGAAAGTAAAATACAGAGAAGCACACTATGTATGGGGGGGGGGGAGAGATATTTTAATCTTTCTTGTTCTCATTTCTTTTCCTTGACTGGTCTACACCGAGTGTAATGCAGATATGAAGTAAGAATAATGCCCACATTTTCCACATGAACAGTACAAGCTAAATGAATTAATAAATCACTTATACCTTTTAAATAAAATTAATTTTAGAAGAGGTCTTATAGAATTTTAATCAGCTTGACTGTAACATAGCTAAGTATATATTCAAGAGGGATTGAACCATCTGTCACTGGATTTGGAAATACTTATCATCAGTTACCAGAAGATACTCATGTTTGTTAATGTTCCTTTTAAATATATAGCTCTCCAGCTGTGGCCATTAAATTTCTTGAAAACTATTGAGATCTGGATTCTTAGCTTACATTTGACCTTGAAGCTTTAATAATTTTACCCAAACAGGAAATTGCTGAGCAAAATCACCTGCAGAAATGGGGGTGGGGTATATTTTCTGTGGTCTGTTGACCTGACTGTAGTTTTCAACTTAGTACATTTTGAAAAATACTAAGTTTAGAATTTGGGAAAGGGACAAGGGCCCCCACTGGGGACACCCATGCTACTGAGGGAAGCTGGTAGATGTTGTGAATGTTGTTGCTGTTGTTTTGACTGCTGTATATAATGCCCCATAGAGATATAGCACTCTCTGGGCGACTTACAACATAATTATGCAAGGAACAGCTTGCCCCTCAGTGAGTTGGGTATTCATTTTACTGACCAAGTGTCATATCTAGCTTGAGAAAAACAAATCATTGTTCAACATGACTGTTACTCGTATTATGTGTCGTCACGTCACTTTTAAGTTACAGTTAGACAAGGTACCCGTGTGCAAGCTTATCAGGCAAAATCCAACGAAACAAAACAAAAGAGACAAAAACATGTGGCACTTTAAAGACTAATTATTATATTTTAATGTGAGCTTTTGTGGGCAAGTTACAGTGACACTTAGAAAGTGTTCAGTGAAATTTGAGATGTCCAAGGAATGGTTTCCCATCCAGTGAGTTTCCGTGGACAAACAGAGAATCCCAGTTTGACACTCTATCCACTACATCATTGGTTCTTAACCTTGGGTTACTCAGGTGTTTTTGGACTACAACTCCCAGAAGCCTTCACCACCAGCTGTGCTGGCTGTGGTTTCTGGGAGTTGCAGTTTATAAACACCTGAGTAACCCAAGGTTAAGAACCACTGCACTACATCATACTGACACTAAGCATGACTAATAAGGTGTACTTTCATTTCATTCCTTTTAAAAAATAATCATTGGATGTAAAAAGCAATAGGGAGGCATATTAAATTATTTTTCTATAAGAGTTGTACAACAGGTATACTCGTCTATCTGAGGCCAACTATAGTAGCACAGACTAAAATATAAGATGGGAGAGATTCTTCTATCCTTTTTCATTTTGCATTTGTAGCTACAACTGCTATGTATGAAGGAAATCACTTCCATGCACAGACACCTTATCTCTCAAGTGCTAAAGTTTTCTACATACAGGGAGTGGGCCAGGCCAGTCCCAAAGGAAAGCATTCAGTTTCAAGTGGCAGTTCAGCAAAAGTTATGCATGGAAATTGGTCCTTGTTCCCCTCACTTCACTCCCTTCATATCTGGCGTGGTTGTAAACTTCACCCTCTCCTATGCTGAAATGTATGTCTCCAAAAGGGGACATAAATCTTTGGGTATTTTTTTTTACACATGAAGAAAAGTTTTCTCCCCACTGGGTGAGATTGTGAGAGGGTCTTTTGGCCTTTACCCCCCCCCCTTTTCTTCTCTTGTTTCTTTTTGGCATTTTAGCGATTTTACACAGGAACATTTTCTTCCTCAAAAACTCTGTACTGTTCATTAAAACCCTTTTCCTTTGTGCAGCCCCCCACCCACCCCAGATGCAAATTTTTGCACAAAGCCACAGGATTTTTAAAAAAATTCTCATGGGTAATTCAATTAACTGAGACACTGAGACACTCTTCAGCATGGGTGAGAAAATTTGTGAGCATCCAATGCCTCCTTGCTCCAATGGGTTTCATTTATGCCATGGTGCTACTGCCTTTTCCATTTACACAAGGAGGTGCAGGTACACTGAAAGATAAACCAGTCCAAAAGCGGTCCTTTCTCAGCTAGAAGCAAGGTGAGCCAAACTTGTTAAGCCTAACCAGCAGCCAATTAGAGAAATAGAAACCTGTGACCCTCCAAATATTATTGGACTGCAGTTTCCATTCATCCTAAGTAGCATAACCAGTGGCAAAGGATGATGGGAGTTGACCCCAAGTTGTTTGCTCAAATGCCTTTGGTATAATCATCTTTAACTGAAACAGCCACCAACCTCTGTCACAGATCCAATTTCTAGCAAACCAGGACTTGAAGTAAAAACAATAGAGTCTAACGGCATCTTATTTTTGTGGTCAAGTATATATTTGACAGAGTAAGTATGGCAGAGAAAAACATCTTATTAACAGCACAAACCACATTCATGCAGTGATAAAACAAAGACCAATTGCTAAAATAATTGTATGAATTCCAAGGCATATGCAACATATAGTTTAAAGCATGCATCATATTTGATGGGTCTGGATCTGGATCTCCATCTATATAATCTATTTGGATATCTGAATATATGCGTAGACCAAGGAAAGATTTAAGTCATTGTTCTAGATAAAACTTATTTATATGGTCAGTTATATTGCAATAACAACTTGCTTCACTCTTTGTTCTGTTCCTCTGTTTACATAGCCTGAAAGTTAAATAGGAACTGAAGCAAACAGGACCAGTAACTGAAATACTAATTCAAGTGTGGACTTGCTTCATTTTCTCATCTTGAGATAAACAGTTATGTTAAAGCTCAGTAGGGTTATTTTCTTTCAATGGCAGTTGGATGGGGTGTCTGTTATTATTCACAAATTATTTGCATTAGTTAGGTATAGAGTACTCAGGTGTCATTTACTGTGTTTTTTCTCCATAGATGTTGTAAGTCTCAAAATGATCGAAGACCTTAAAGAGCAGCTAGATAACCTCTCCCAAGAGGTAACTCTACTAAAGGAAAAGCAAGCCCTTCAAACAGGTACAGAATTGAACAGCCTGAAGTTTTATTTATGACAGAATTGTCTTGGCTTGGGCAATAAGCTTAGTCAATGTAACGCAAGGCCACACACAACCCCATTTTTCTGCACACCCTTCTGTGTGGAAGTGAGACACATCAGTATTGGGTCCGTACAGTAGTGGAATCAGTAAAGGGGGAGATGCTAGCCCCTTAATAGCAAGTGATGCCTCTAACCCACAAGGACCTTTGTTCCTTAAAAATGAGAGAGAGGAAAACTCAGTGAGTCACATATTATGGTATTTTAAAAAGGAGAAGAAGAAATTGGGATTTAAAAGGAGAAAAAAGAAACATTTGAGTAATAAACACTTGAACCCAAGTCTTCAAACAGAGTAATGTGGATAATGGAGTCCAAAACACAGTAGTATGTAAACCACAAGTGCAGAGTTGCATCTTAACACCTGTTTCTGATTGTGAAGCCCAGAACCTAGAGGGAACTGTAGGCCTCAGTCACTGGTGGTAGAGCTGCTTCTAACTGGTAACTATGGAACCCAAAATTCAGTTGTTCCCCCTCCATGCATCCTTTAAAAATAGTCCTCGGCACTTCTCCATCTCTCTCTTTCTCTTGATTTTCTCAGAACATCTTCTTGTTCTCTCTGCTGAAAGCTCCTAAGGGACATCTCCAGGCTTTCCACCCTGATTGGTAAGGGGTGAAGGGAGTTGCAGTCTATCAACGGCCAGAGATCCCTGCTGTAGAAGGAAAGTTTTATTAAAATCTTAGAACTGCACAACTGGAAGGGACCCTATGGATCATCAAGTCCAGCTCAAAGTCAAGGAGGCACAGTGGGGAACTGAACTACCAACCTCTGGCTCTGCAATCAGAAGCCTAAACCACTTGGCAAGTCCAATGGAAAGGGCACTGCCTCCTGATACATCAAAATGAGCTTGTGTGTGTGTCTCTGTGTACAGTATATCACAGAAGTGAGTACACCCCCTCACATTTCATAAATATTTTAGTATATCTTTTTGTATGACAACACTGAAGAAATTACAGTTGGCTACAATGTAAAGCAGTGAGTACACAGGTTGTATAACAGTGTAAAGGTGCTGTCCCCTCAAAATAATGTAACACACAGCCATTAAAGTCTAAACCGCTGGCAACAAAAGTGAGTACACCCCCTCAGTGACAATGTCCAAATTGGACACAAAGTGTCAATATTTTGTGTGGCCACCATTATTTTCCAGCACTACCTTAACCCTCTTGGGCATAGAGTTCACCAGACCTTCACAGGTTGCCACTGGAGTCCTCTTCCACTCCTCCATGATGACATCACAGAGCTGGTGGATGTTAGAGACCTTGCACGCCTCCACCTTCCATTTCAGGATGCTCCACAGATGCTCGATAGGGTTTAGGTCTGGCCAGTCCGTCACCTTTACCCTCAGCTTCTTTAGCAAGGCAGTGATCATTTTGGAGGTGTGTTTGGGTCGTTATCATGTTGGAATATTGCTCTGTGGCCCAGTCTCCAAAGGGAGGGGATCATGCTCTGCTTCAGTAGGTCACAGTACATGTTGCCATTCATGGTTCCCTCAATGAACTGTAACTCCCCAGCGTCAGCAGCACTCACGCAGCCCCAGATCATGACACTCCCACCACCGTGCTTGACTGTAGGCACAACACACTTTTCTTTGTATTCCTCACCTGGTTGCTGCCACACACACTTGACACCATTTGAACCAAATAAGTTTATCTTGGTCTCACTGGACCACAGGACATGGTTCCAGAAATCCATGTCCTTAGTCTGCTTGTCTGCAGCAAACCGTATGTGGGCTTCCTTGTGCATCATCTTTAGAAGAGGCTTCCTTCTGGGATGACAGCCCTGGAGATTTGATGCAGTGCGAAGCGTATGGTCTGAACACTGACAGGCTGACCCCCCCCCTTCAACCTCTGCAGCAGTGCTGGCAGCACTCATATGTCTTTTTCCCAAAGCCAACCTCTGGATATGACGCTGAGCACGGGCACTCAACTTCTTTGGTCAACTATGGCGAGGCCTCTTCTGAGTGGAACCTGTCCTGTTAAACCGCTATATGGTCTTGGCCACCATGCCGCAGCTCAGTTTCAGGATTTTGGCAATCTTCTTATAAAAATTAAAAATTAAATTAAAACACACATTCACACCATGCCCCAAAGCAAACAAACAATAACAGGAAAATCTCCAGAGGCAACAGCTGAACAAAATTAAGATTCAAATGTAATGATTCAGCAACTCTGTCATAAGGGGAGGATGTTCTTAAAGGTTTCTGCTTTATCATGTCTCCTGAGGATCAGGAGGGAGGGAGCCTGGTGTACATCCATGTGTTCTAGAGTGTTGCGGCCACCACTGAAAAGGCCCAGTTCCTTTTGGTTTTTTTCTTGGCCTCCTTTGGGGTGACCACCCCCAACAGAAAAGCCTGAGAAGAATAGGTGGCCTGGGTAGATGTTCTTAAGGAGAAATGCTCCGACTGTACACCAAAGTACAGTATCCCCTTTCTAATGACACTTGTTACCTCATTGTTTTTCTCTTGCTAGTTTGTCTGAAAGGCACCAAGGTCAACCTGAAATGTTTGCTGGCTTTCTCCAATGCAAAGACCTATCATGAGGCCAGTGAAGACTGCATTGCCCAAGGTGGTACCCTCAGTACCCCCCAGACTGGAGATGAAAATGATGCCCTCTATGACTACGTGAGGAAAAGCCTTGGGACTGAAACAGAAATCTGGCTTGGCATTAATGACTTGGCAGCTGAGGGAAAATGGGTGGATATGACAAGCACCAGAATTGGCTATAAGAACTGGGAAACAGAGATCACCATTCAGCCTGATGGTGGGAAACAAGAAAACTGTGCAGTGTTATCAGCTGTTGCTGTTGGAAAGTGGTTTGACAAGCGGTGCAGAGACACATTGCCTTATGTGTGCCAGTTCCTGATTGTTTAATAGTGGGGTTCCTAGTATGGAAGAACAGGCCAAGGCATTCCATTTGATGCCTGGAATAGAGTTGTATGCAGATATATGTAAGAATAGGAAGAATAAAAATTCGCATGTGTGTGTGTACACACATGTGTAATGAACACATGCACATGTATACCCATGTACAAATAAAATTATGGTTTGGTAATGGATTACAATGTATTAGATCTGCATTGCACTTTACTCAAAGTTTTTAGCACACAAATTATTCTTAATAGCATGAGTTTTAGAGACTTTTTACACCAGAACTTATTAGGATGGCTTAACTCTTTGAGCAACATAAGAACTTTGCAAAAATGTTATGGCACTTTAAGACTTACTATTTGTTGCATATAATAATCCTGCAGGCCTCCTCCCACACCACCACCCCTGCTGATTGCACCAAAGTAAATTAGCTTTTGCTAAATTATTCCTAAAATTTTCTGATGGCTTGGGAAGCTGAATGCACATTAGCATGGTCAAATTTAACTTAATTTTATGCCATGCTTATGGCCAAATTTTTAACCCATGTTGATTCATTTAGCACTTTCATATCACTGAAATCAGAATTTAAAAGATGTGCCTTAACCTAGGCTATATTAATGTTGTGTGTGTAAAGAGCTGAAGAGGAGCTGCCAAGACGCATGTGTAAAAATAAAGACTAAAATAAAAAAATGAAAATCAGAAACAACTCTAGCATCTGGTAGTGGTAATGAAGTCCTATACCTCTTGGGTTCATTGATGCCCCAGTGGCAAATCTTCCAAAATCCACTGAGGGATACCACAGGTGGCTACTTGGAAATGCTTTGACAAGACAAAATATTTTTTTCACATTTTTACAATAGTTGACTAGTAGAGAAGAACCAGAAGTGGTTACATCCAAGATTATCACTGCTATTTTCTGTGTAGACTACCACAGTGTATCTTATCCCAAGTGTGATGTTGATCTATTTTATGTAGTCTATCAGACAGCCTGAAAATATAAAGTTATATGGAGCCAGACTATATGTTTACTGCATATGGTGAAGATAATGATTCCATGGTGATTCACTCCTGGATTGAGCAAGTAGGGCCTTAAATTGATTGATTCCTTTGAACTACCACACAAGTTACAGTTTATCCCCACAGCTTCCTCTGACACAGTGAGATTAAATTGATTTAAGTCAAAGAGCCTGAGCTGATGATGGTGATGGTGCTTCCCAAACAGCTGAAAACTGAGGTCTGATATTTTCCCCCTCAGGAATAGGGAACTGTGGCATTCGCCCAGGTCACGATTAATAATATGCTATTTGCATAGACCAATGGGAGTGCTGGAGGGGCAGAGTCATGAAGTATAAGAGACTCAGCAGGAGGAGAAGTTTAGATATGGTTTAGATAGGGTTTTGAGATGGAGAATTAGAGAGGGTGTTATAGAATTGAGAGAGTTTTAGAGTTTGGGCAGGAGAATGGCGGTTGAGGGTGGATAAAGAAGAATGTTTGTTTAAGAGTTGACAACATTGCTTGTTCTGTCAACACCTGTATCAATAAACAATTTCTATTTGGTTCTTTTAAAATGACACATGGCCTGGACATCTATCATTCATAATAGGTGTTGTTGATGAAATCAACTGGTGGCGCTGAGGAGCATGTAGCGTGAGCTCCTAGTCTGGTGAAATAATCAGGGGCCACGTGGAATCGTGACAAACTGGTGACAGTGCTGGGATACAAAATGATCCACTGAAAAGTTAAACGGGCTTGCGTTTAAGGGTATTCCTAGCTAGAAGGGGTTAGGATCTGTAGTAAGAATTGGTTACCCGTTACTCTTAGTGAAGACTTAGTTTGGGGGCTTCTGGACCCAGATCTGGGAATCCTAGGAGAAGGAAAATACCTACTCAGGATAAATCATTTTATCTCAGGATTTACAAGACCTAGTGGCTAGCTCAAAATCTGGAGCTCTGACGGTAAAGAGCAGTGGCAGATAGAGTGGAAGTCTAGGTTAATAAAAGCTAAGTAAAAGTTCTTCTTGTTTCTGGAGACAAGAATCACCCAGACAGGAAAAATATTGTGGCCAGGATTGTGAGCTTGGGAGTGGTTGAGGCAAGCTGCTTGGGAAAGCACAACCTAGTTACAAGGAAAGCCACTGAAAGAGAGAAAAATGCTTGTACATTTGGCTTTTGTGAGGGAAAAGAACCAGTCCAGATTAATAAGAAATTGTATTGTGTATGCCGCCCAAAAGAAGTAAAAACTCATTTATGGAGGCATTAGTTGAGCCCCAGAGTACTGAGGAAAATGAGAACCCTCAAATTCAAAGGGATGAAGACAAGACCTGCATTGATTTCCTCAGAGGGAGAAAATAGTCAAAGCTCCCAAGATTTTGAAAAATGGAAGCTAGAACCGGAATTCAAACTGAGGGAGATAGCTATGAAAAACCAATTAGAATTTGAAAAAGAAAATAGGCAAGGGGAATGTGAGCTAAAAGAAAGAGAAATACAATTCCAAATACAGATGAAGAAACTGGAATTAGCTGCTCAAAATAGTAATAATAATGATAATAATGATGATGAGGATGATAATGATGATGATTCTAGTGAGGTAAATGTCTCAAAAATCAACCTAAAGAAATTTCCTCAATATAGGAATGGGAATTGTCCTGAATCTTTCCTGATTTAATTTGAAGCAGCTTGTTGGGACTTTGAGGTTAAAGATGATGAGAGGATGATAATTTTAACGTCCCAGATAAGTGGAGTTTTATCTGAACTTCATTCACAGATGCCTTTGGAGCAAGCTAGAGATTTTAAAGCTTATAGAAAGATGGTGTGTTCCAGATTTGGGATAAATTCAGAGCACCTCAGAAGGAAATTGAGATCAATTTCAAATAAACCTGAGTAGTCTTTTGCCCAGCTTGGAGCACGTTTGACGCAATTGCTCCATAAATGGCTGGCACAGGAACACGTCACCTCCTTAGAACAAATGAAAAATATGATTGGATTAGAACAATTTTATTCCATTTTGCCAGGAGAATTGCGTTATCTGGTCAAGGACAAGGATCCTAAAAATGTGCTGTAGGCGTCTGAATATGCTGGTTTCATTAGTGATATCAGAGATCTTCAGTTCTCTGAGGTAAAATTTGGTAGGAAAGCATGGGATGACAGTAAAACCAGTAAAAAGAAACATTACCTCAGTCAGGCACAGGCTAAGGAAAGTCATTTTAGAGATAAATGCTAATCTCCAGAGCACAGTCATCTGAAATCTAATAGTTCTAAGGGAAAGGTTAATAAGGCCCTTTATTTTGAACCCAAGGCCAGTAAACAATGTTATTCATGTGGAGAGAAAGGTCATTTTGGGGCTCAGTGTGAGACTCAAAAGACTAGGGATTTTAACTAGCATAAAGGTGGAAATTCCAGTCAGCCTAAGAAGGTGTTTCGTGTGCAGCAGAGTAAGGCAGAGCAATCAGCAGTTGAAGTTGAGGCTTCTTCCTGCCACAGCATGGTTGCTAAGGAAACAGACTTGGCAGAATGTCCAGACATTCCCAAAGCGAGAGTGATACAATGTTTCCTAATCCAGTGCAATCAGGATTTATTGAATAACTCTGCAGAGCCTATTTTCATTGACAATGTAAAGTATCTGAGTCTGAAAGATACATGTTCCCATGTTACTATTTGTCACTCAGACATCATTCCTGAAGAGAATATGTTAGAACAAAACATCATCCTCAAAGGCATTAACTGAGATGTGGTGGCGCTGCCAATGGCCAAAGTAGCAGTGAGATACCAGGGGTGGTCTGGTATATGGAAGGTAGCAGTGTCAGACTGAATCCCTGCTCCTTGTTTGATTGGTGTAGATCTAGCTAAACATGTGCAGAGAGTTTTGATAGTAACCTGTTTTCAGGGGAGGTAAAATGAAGCCTCTGAGGGAAGTGCTGAAACTCTTGATGAAAGACCCACTTTAGATGAGCACCTTGAAATGAAAGAAACAGCTGATTTAGTGTAAATGAGAAATCCTAGTAGTTCCTCCTTTATTAATGAGCAGAAGGAAGATGTTACCTTGAGTGATTGCTTTGGGAAAGTTAATGAGAATCCCATTCCACTGACCCATGAACACCCAGAGAGGTATTGTGTGAGAAAAGATTTATTATATAGAGAGGTTTTAATGGCACCTCATGGGGAGGGGACTCCACAAACACCTAATTGTCCCTGTTAAATAGAGAGAAAAGATTAGAGAAAAGCATATAGAGATGTGTTTGGGACATACCTGGGAATTACTCACACCAAGCAAAGAGTGGCACAGAATTTTTACTGGCCTGGAATGGGGAAGCAAATGAAACAATATTGTCAGACATGTGATACGTGCCAGATGAGTGGTACTGGGAATGACAAGACAAGGGCTAAGCTATGCCCATCACCAGTGATCTTGACCCCTTGCCAACGTGTAGGTCTGCAAAAGTCCTTAGAGATAGCAGGGCAAAGCCTGAGGAGTGCTCATAAAAAGCAGAGGGGCTGGTGCGATGATAAAAGGGCCCAGGAAACAACATTCTATCACAAGGATGAAGTACTGATGCTGAGACCCATAAAGGGCAATAAATTGCAGGTAGGATGGTCAGGACCTGTAGAGGTGTTATGTCAGCACTGGAAAGCTGAGGAGACTCATACTGGGAAGTTTCCACATATAGCTGCCAAAGCACTGATTGAGAAACCAGAGATTGAAGGGATAGAACCAGATGATAAAAATCTCAATACATCTGAAATAAACCAAGTGTTTGAGATTGCACTTAAAAGAAACTTGCCTGTGAATCTGTGATTCATGAGGGTGGTCCCCCACATGTGAAGAGCTTTGCGACTAAAGTACCTGTGGTCGAGTTTATGGGTGAGAGTGAAGACAAGAGCAATAAGATCTCAAAGAAGGACGCAGCCATAGCTGTTCTGGAGGAGTGGAAGAAACTGCCTGCCCTTTCTCCAGTTGAGAAAGTGAAGCCATGAGTCAAAAAGAAAACAGGCTTCACCCGGAAAAGGTGAGCTGAGGACATCCAGGGGACATCAGAATGCCAGGGGGCTTTCGATCGTCTGAAGAGAGCACAGGCTTCAGGACCTGTTCTTGTTGCACTGGACTTAGACTGGGAGTTCATCGTCTCCACGGATGTGTAGAACGTGGGACTGGGAGCCATGCTGTGCCAAGCAGACGATTAGCAGGAAACTCCAACCTGGTGAGAGACATTTGTCTGCCATTGAGAGGGCATGCCTATCTACCTTATGGACACTGCAAAAACTGAAGCCCTACATTTCAGGAAGGAAATTTGTCCTCTGCACTGACCATTCCCCTTTGGTGTGGCTAAAAACCATGACATTCAATAGCAGCAAACTTGCAAGATGGGCGCTGATCCTGCAAGACTTTGACTTTGAGATCCGTAGCGTAAAAGGGAATCAGAATGTGGTTCCTGACCCCTTGTCTCGGAGCCGAAATGAATAAAGAGTTTGTAATATGCATAGTATTAAACATTTTGTTTGTGTAATGGTTATGGAATATGATTAAAGTGCAGTGTTTGCTTGGATGTTGATGAACTGAGAGGAGTATAGTGATGGTAAAAATAATGGTGAGTATCCTTATTAATGTAAAGGAAATATAATTTGTATTGATGTAAGTAATGCAAAGGGTTAATATGTCTGCTGATGTAAGAGTAATGATATATCCTTAGTGATGTAAATAATGTAAAAGATTGATATTTGTATCTTTCATAAACCTTCATTTGTTTATGAGGGCAAACCATTAGGTTTCCACTCTTAAAACAAACATATTAAGGGGGGAGGAATGTGGTGTTTGCCCAGGTCATGATTATTCATATGTTATTAGCATAGACCAATGGAGGTGCTGGAGGGATGGGGTCACAAAGCATAAGAGACTCAGCAGCAGCAGGAGGTTTAGATAGAGTTTTGAGATGGAGAATTAGAGAGTTGAAAGAGTTTTGGAGTTTGGGCAGGAGAATGGTGGTTGAGGGTGGATAAAGAAGAATGTTTGTTTAAGAGTTGACAACATTGCTTGTTTTGTCAACACATGTAGCAATAAACAATTTCTATTTGGTTCTCTTAAAATGACACATGGCCTGGACATCTATCATTCATAATAGGTATTGTTGATGAAATCAACTGGTGGCAGCTGAGGGGCATGTAGCATGAGCGCCTAGTTTGGTGAAACAATCAGGGGCTACGTGGAATCGTGACAAACCGGTGCTGGGATACGAAACAATCCAGTGAAAAGATAAGAACTATGGCCTTCTTGATGCTGGTGGGCTCTAACTACCATTATATCTGACCACTGGTTATCCTAGCTGATGCTGGCATGAAGTGAGTCCAAATTATGATAACGTCTGGAAGGGCACAGGTTTTCCACCCCCTTTTAAAAGACATATAAGCAGTGTTACTATGTAGCCAGGGTTGGCAGGATCAAAGCCCTGAAACGTCCTGAGTAGCAGGGATTATGACTTCATCTATACTCACCTGAGGCTTCCCTTTTCCTCTTAAATTCAGCTGTAATCCTCACAGTAGCTAAAAGACAAATGGTGTTTTGCAGAAAGAGTAGATTCCTGTAAGATATCATTGTAATGCAAGGTATTTGAAAGTGGTTTAGTGTTGAATGGGCCATTTAAAGCCACTGACATTACAAATGATCTGGTCCTCAGTTGTTGATATGCACCCATCCAATGGTCTATGTGTCTGGACTTTCATCATGGAGTACAGTGACTGCCACAATAATCACCTTCACTTCCAAATTTACCACTGCACTTGCACTGCCTGTTAAGTCATCTCTTACATGGTAAAATAATCCACCCTCAAAGGTGGGTTCACACCTATGTTTCTCTATGTGTCAGCTCTTCTACACAGAGACGGCACTTCCCTAAGGGGCCTTCTCTAAGGGGCAGATCACCCTTTTTATCACTATCAGATGTGCACCCTTCCCACCATTTGATCATACCCTGAGTCACAATCCCTCCTTTTAAGCACCACAGTTGGAGATCCTGTGGTAAATTTTGCCCAGTGGTTGGAAGATGGACCTGTTGGTCCCTCAACTCCACTCCCCTTTCTTTCCACCTGCAGTATTTTCATAAAAACAAAATCTAGAAAGACACTATTTCTGGACACTGGAAGTATTCGTGTTTTTGAAACATGAAACATTAATAAGGATTCATGTTGGCCCACCATGAATTCTAGTGACCTGAGAGGGAAACCTGTTTTTCTCCTGGCAGGCACAAGAACCAGTCACAAGAAGCCCAGTTTCACTTGGCCATTGAACTTCATTTAAATCTGAAATGTACGCCTGGGATCCATTAATCTATTATATAATATTTATGGTCAGATGTCAGTTATGTAACTTGGGTTGGCCCAGATCTCTCGTAACATGCAGCTCAGCAATGGGATCAGCTGTGGAAGCAAACTGGAGTAAATTTAGAATTGTGCAAGCAAATTATTTGGACACAGTATATATCCATTCCCATATGAGCAATCATCAAAGCATTCCTCACGACTTCAGTGTATTAAAAGGAAATAAAGACTTTCAAATGTTATTTTTCTTGTAATATCTATGACTCCAAGTGTTTTCCAGACAAAAATCTTAAAAGACAACATTGACAAAATAATAGCATTTGAGTTTCTATGACATGGATAAGCCTAAGATGAGGAGCATAGTTTATCTATTTCTAATCACACTTCAGTTCACTGTTAGCAGATCCCTTTTTACTGGTCACCTTTTATTATGTTCCCTTATCTCTTTAATTTGCCTCTGAGAGCTTTTAATAAGATTTAAGGGCCATCTTTATAATACAGAAAAGGACAGAAGTAAGAACAGAAGCAAAAAGAGCAAGACAGCTGCTGCCCACTGTCCAGAATCTGATTTCATATCAAGAATCCTGGCTCTGTTTGAAATAGTTGAGATGGCAATTACCCAAAACAGATGGATCCCATCTGCTCAGCACTGGCGATAATAACTATTTCAAACTTTTTTAAAAGTTCAGATTTGCAGACAGATGGAAGTTGCAACATCTATGCCTCAGTTTCAAGGTCTGGATTGACTATTGCATTAACTATGCCATAGAGCAGGGGTGGGCAATTAATTTCTATGGGGGGGCCACATGAAAAATCTGAACTGGGTTCGGGTGCCGAACCAACTTTACTTAAAAATAAAACGAAACAGTGATGTTATGATTGTTTTTATTTTAAACTTGTTAATCTTCACAAATACTAAAGAGGATTTCTGCGGTATGTTAAAGCAACTGATCAAATTTAGATGAAAAGCTGTAAATGGTTTTGATGTTCAAAACTGTCTGCGGGCCAGACAGGAGTGGCTCGTGGGCCATATGTGGCCCTTGGGCCGCACTTTGCCCAGGTCTGCTGTAGAGTGACATCAGTGCTGTTGCCCTATCTATGTTAGTCTATCCTAGGTTGGCAGGGCTTAGCCTGCTCTGAGGTAGGTGTTATGTGATGGAACTCCATGTGCTCTTACAGTACAGAAGCTGACTGGAATGTCAGATGATGGAATAGCATCCTATACCACACCTAAGCTTATGGGACTAACAACAGGCACCCTTCAATAGAAGGGAATACCTGAACAGCTTCAGAGGAACAGTCCAAGGGTGGGCTCTGATTGTCCCCAGCGCCTGCAACTTGGTGTGCATGCCTCACTCCACTTCAGGTAGAGCTAGCCCTATTTATATCAGAAGGGCCTTTGAAGATAGATGACACCCAGCAACAAGAGGAACTTAATGATTGCTGCTACCAGTAGGATCGTATGAGTAGGCAGCAGGTAAATGTAGGACTGCTGCTTTAGAAAGGCCTCTCTTCCCCCACCACAAGTTTACACTTTATACTCTGAAATTATTTCTCATCAAAGAACAAAAGGGAGTTTTAAGGGGGGGAAAGTGTGCCTCAATGAAAAAAAAATCAATATTGATGTTTTGGACATTTTCACATTAAAAATTACACATGTGAGCCTCCTTTTGGAAATTTCACCTGATAGTGAAGATGAAGGACTGTTTCCCAGAGTAAATTTCTTTGATACTTTTAGCAATTCATTGGCTCCCAGTTAGCTCCTCTTTCCTGTTCTTTTCAGATTTCTAGTTTATCCCTTTAAAACCCTGAAAATTCAGGATGTATATATTTCAGGGTCTTTCTTCTTCCATAAACCAGTTTTTCCCGAGATATCATTTGAGGAGGCCCTGTTCTATGCTTTGCATCCATCAGAAGTGCAGCTGGTAGCAAAGCTCAGGAAATTTGGGGTTGGGTAGGGATTCCTTTCCCAGGATCTTCCAGCTAGTATGGCCAATGGGTAGACAGGCTGGGGAGTTCTGGGCATCATAATCTTTAAAAGATATTTTCCCAAGCTCTGTTGGTTAGACACACAGGACAAGAGGTCTTCTTGGCTTCAGTACTTGCCTTAGCTTGGGAAAGTCAAATCATTTTGGACCACAGTTCTGGCAGCCAGCAAGGCTAGTACTTTGGTAATTGTGGTAAAAAACAACAATTTTTCTGAGTCTCGGCATTTTTCACTACTGTAGGATGCTCTCCTGTGTTAGGTTTATTGGGTGGAATCCTGTTGCTTTGCACTTTAAATTACACTAGATCTGTGGAGATTTGGTGAATCAAATACTCTGAAATCTTTGATTGAAATGGGCCTACTCTCATGGCTTACTTTAGCATAATAAGCCACAGATAGAGTAGGCCCACTGATTCAATGGAATTTACAAAGGAGCTGACTCACCAAATCCCCACTGGTTCAATAGGCCTGTACTAGGATAATTTCTTTTGCTGAGCAGTAGGATTTCAGCCAATGTTCTGCATTCTAATCTGTTTTTCCTTAAATGGCATGCTTGTGTGAATAGGGAATATAGAATAGGGAATAGATTTCTCACTGTGTGGCTCAGTTTAGGGCCAGCCAGATAAGATTGGTTAAAACCAATCTTAAATCAAAACCATATGCATTCTTCCTGGAAGTGCATTTAACAATATTACAACAAGATTGTTTTCAATTAGATCTGATGGTGTCAGAAGAAAAGAAAGTACCATCCATTCTTTTAAAATGATGTGATGGGATTATTAGGTGGTTAATATTCTTCTGATCAGCTAACAACCCTGGCCTTATTCAATTCTGTTAAAATTAATGTCTTACTTTGGGTGGCACTTTACATTTCCTAAACTAAGATAACACTATTGTGTCTCTAAATATAGTTATATGAGTACTGGATGAGACTATAAGATTTCATCCAGAAACAGGAAGCCTGTAACCTCCAGAATTTTTGGAATGCAACTGCCATCATGGGTCCTAAGAGTCATCAAGTCCAACCTCTGTAAAGGAGGCACAGTGTTGTTGGTAAATGTATTTAGTCAGCCCTCTGGTTGTTTTAAAAAGAAATGGTTATGTGAGAGGTCATTTTGTAAGAAAAAGAAACAAGCTTCATACACTGATGTAACTAATGATGCATGACGGGAAGAATATGGCATGTTGTGGCATGTCAATACTATATGAACTTCGGATGGGAACCTCAGATGGGAGGTCAGTGCCCAGAAATGGACATTCTGAAAGCACTGTTCAGACCATTCCTCTAAATTAACTGATTGCTGCCTAGCTAGATATTTCAACAAAACTACAGTGACCTCTGTTTATTTCTTTTATATACAGTATTTATTTTCAGTCAGCTGGAAAAATAGAAGACAGAGGGCATTTGCCTTATTTAGTTCATTTATATCTCATCTTTCTCTCAATATTGTGTCCCAGGATAGTTACTTGGTCACAGTCTTGTGCAACATGGTGAGAAGTAATGTATTTCCATTTAAATTATAGTAATAATGTCTAATGGTGATTATATTTGCATATATTCATTTAAATTAGCATATGCAGATTTAATGAAAAATGCTCTTCTTTCTTTATGAAGAATATCCTCCTTTTCAATACTCTTTGTCTTCTGTATCACCTTTTTGGTGACATCTGTCCAACATTTTGGCAATGGAGCAGTAGCCACCCAAACTAGATCCCTTGTGTTAACAAAATCTTGTAAGGAGAGCTGAAAAGGGGAAACTAAGAACTGATTTTCTTTCAGGGGGGGATAAGCTATATTCTATCTGTACAGAATGCTCTCCTGCAGTTTTAGGTTATTAGATTATATAACAAATGTGTTTCACATTTCCACTGATGGTTACCTAGTAGCAGGGGTTTATTGGTCACTTGTGTTGGCATGACAATGTATGATGTCACATTGGGATCAATTCTCAATTCCAAGTCTTGGCAAAAGGACAGGCTGTGGCCCGAGAGCCACAGATGTCCCTCAGTTAATTTTTGTGCAAGTAAAGAAAGATTAGAAGAAGAAAGGAACAAAAAAAACTGAAGGAAAAGGTAGGGAGAGGGAGATAAAGGGGTGGGATAGCACAAAAAAGAGGTGTAAATAGGATAGCCAATGGAGAGGAAATGAGGTAGCAGAGAGAAAGAGGAAGAAAAGTATGTGCAGAGAGAAAGGAGTAGTAAAGAGAGGGGCATGAACACGTTAGGGTTAGAGAGAAAGAAATACACTCATGAAAGCAGGTGGCAAAGGAGGAGAGAAATGAGGGATGGTGGAGAAAAAAGAAAGTTGGAAAGTCAGAGAAAGATGCTGGGAGATAGAAAAAGAAGGATGGCTGTGGGAGAAAGAGAGAGAAGGGTAGTATTTATAGTTTAAAATATTTTAATCCACCTTTCACCTTAAAAAGGACATAAAATAACAATTAAAAGAATATTTAAGTTAGTAACAACACTAAAAGGATAAATGAACACAACACCAAAGAGCATAAGCAACAGCAAAACACCTTCAGTGCAGAAAGGTAGAGCAAAAAGGTACGCAGCAACCATTCACTCAGGGAAAGCTTCCCTGAAAAGAAAAGTCTTTGCCTGCTTGTGGAAGGACCGTAAAGATGGGGCTCGCCTGGCCTTCTGTGGGAGAGGGAGTTCCAGAGGTGGGATTCAGCTGGTTCACACCTGTTCTATAGAACTGGTTCCTAAATGTACTATTGGCTCATAGAACTGGTTGCTGGCCTGAGATGAATGAAGGAGGAGGGGCCACGTGACCAGTGACGAGCGGGGGGGGAGGGGGGAACTATGATTTTTTTTCAAGTTAAAGTTACCATATAAGACTGTTCCTCTGCCTAGAAACAGTTTTTTTATCTCAGAGAATATCCAATGCATGAACCGTTGACCGTCTTACTGATCCCCGCAAGCAAGGTATGCAATAGAAAAGTCATTCACACCACAAAGAGATCACACCTAAACCTCTTTGTTATTCTAAATGAGGCTTGGAGGCTCCAACCCTCATTTAGAATAACAAAAAACTCTTCCTCCCGCTCCAAAACTGCAATTTCAGGAGACAAATGGCACACAGATGGCCTCTGTTAGAAGTTATCCAGGGCCAAGAAAGGAAAACACATCATAAACATATCCATAAAAGGGGAATCGAAATTCTTCTCTCAGGTGCATCTTGATGACAGCCAGTCTCTGTGGCCGGCATCTGGAGTGTTGAGACTGACTTTCAAGCTTTCATTTTTGAGATTACTTTCAAGTAAGTATGCTTCTTTGTGTTCATAGGATTTTTAAAAAATATAAGAGACATGTAAATTTGCATATGATGAAATACAGATATGTGAGTGCAGTGGATTTTCATTGAAGACAGTCCTTAAAGTAGAAAATAAAGCCTCCATCAAGAGAGGCAGTATATCTGCCTACGAGGTGTTGGAAAGCATTGATTTCATTTGATTTCTCACTCTCAATTGGTTTGATTTTATCTTTAACTCTAATCTAAACCTTTACATCATCTTTTAAGCTCAACCCCTATTTGGGGGATATAATACATAAAAGGCAAACTATGTCTGAGCATAAAGCCGGCTTTTTATTAAATATTTCCCTGCCTTAGCTGTTTGCCATGCAGTCTTGACTCTGGCAGGCAAAGACTTTCCAGGTAGGCTTTTAACATGTAAACTGCCCTGGAGAAATGACTTGCCCTTTTATCTTGTAAAATATATTTTCAGAATTATTTTAACAGGGTTCCCTTTAGGAGCCTTTAGCATTTATTTGTTATTGCGTTTTTATGCTGCCTTATAGTGGGATGTAAATGTATATATTTATAATTGTGTCACTGTTTGTGATATTAAATCATTTGTGAGCCCACTGGAGTTCCTCTGCAGGGAGAAAGATGGGCTAAAAACTAAAAAAACAAACCCAGGAATTCTGGGAGTTGTAGTCCCCCCCAATTAAGGGCGGTTTTTTGTTTGCAAAGACTTTCACGGCTGGGATCTGATGGTTGTTGTGGGTTTTTCGGGCTCTTTGGCCATGTTCTGAAAGTTGTTCTTCCTAACGTTTCGCCACAGAGACTGGGGAAATGTTAGGAAGAACAACCTTCAGAACACAACCAAAGAGCCTGAAAAACCCACAACCACCAATTAAGGGAATAACCTTTCAACTTTTTGGAATTGGCAGGTAGATGCAGGGAATCCATACAAAACCTGTGGTTGCTGTTATTGTTATGTGTTGTCAAGTTCCCCCCTACTTAGGGCGACCCTAGGAATGAGCAATTTCCAACATGGGCTGGCCTCAACAGCCCTGGCCATCTATTGCAAACTCAAGCTTGTGGTTTCCTTAGGGCATGGGTGGGCCAGAGAACTTTTATACCTTTTACCCTCCCAAATTTATTTACATTGACATAACCCCCCCGTCTTGGCTCTTGCCGTCTGCGACTGACCCCCGCCCCTCCTGCGCTCGCCCGGGACCTGTGGCCACCACTCGGGCAGCCAGTCTGGAGCTGCCACACTGCTGGAAAAGCACGTCCTTGCAGAGGGGAGGCGGGCGCCATAGGGCCGGCAGGTCCACTGGCCATGAGCTCAGGGGAGGCAGGGTGGGAAGGAGGCTTCCTTGCCAGCGCACCGGGCAGGTGGGCACAGGCAGGAAGGAGAGCCCCAGCCAAGGCTCCACCAGGCAAAGAGTCCAGCTGGCCTGGTACGCCACCCTCTCCCCCCCCACACTTTGGAGGTGAGGAGGACAGGCGAGTGCCCTGTGCAGTTCCTCACCAGGGCTCGCTCTCCCCGCGATGGAATGCACACAGCATAGTTGGAAATAAAATGCCTGGGGATAAAATGCCTGCCGTGACCATCCTCATTACCTCCAGGATTTTCATTTTTACCCCATTTGGGGTAATTTAGCCTTCCTCTTTCCCTGCTACCTTCCACCTTTCTCAGTACTATGGTCTTTTTCCATAGATTCCTGCCATCTCATGATGTGCCCGAAGTAGGACAGCCTCAGGGTTGTTTGTTTTTTTGCCTCCGGAGATAATTTAGGCTTAACTTACTCATCTTTTTTTGGCAGTCCAGGGTATCTGCCATACGATCCGATCAGGCCGAGGGTGTCTGAAAAAGATGATCAGAATTTTGTTAATCGGGACAATCCTCTTTGAAGAGCCACGTGTCAGCAAGCTGTTTTAAGTTTCTGTTGTTGTTACATGCTATCAACATCGCCCCTGGTTTAGGGTGACCCTATGAATGAAC